TGGCAATCATTTGGTCAATCTAATAATTTAACTATATAATTTTGTAAAAGCTAGCTGTCAAGAATGGCTGTGATAGCTAAGTATTCTTTATCAAGGCACTAAATGCTCCAGAAGGAAATGTTAAGTGGGCAGAACTGGGGTTTCTTATTAAGCTATCTTATTAAGCTATGAGAGCAACATTCATGTCCTTTGGTTATCTTTCACTGCGTGTGTGTGTTTATACATGTCTATCACAATCTTGACTTCACAAAAAGTCTCTATAGTTGGTTTTACCTTATAAGGCATTGTGTTTGTGTGTGTGTGTCCCAGGCAGTCGGAGAATGCATGTGGGTGCTAAAGGAAGGGGCACAGCCAGAGACGAGGAGAGACTCTTGGCTTTGACAGAGAACAATCAAAAGGGTGGAAGTTAAAGGATGTTGAGCTGCTAACCTGCTGTCACTTCTTTTAAAAGTCATTCGTTAAGCTGAATGACAAATGAATACAAACCTTCTGGTCGCTGATTCTTGCTGCATCATGTCTGGTTGAAGGATTTTCCAAAGTGCCAGAAAAGCCAGTTCTTACTACAGTACATTTTCACCCCTATTAATTTATTAATGAGTCTTAGAGGAGTGAGAGCTTGTATTGTAAACTAAACACAAGGAAGTCTTTGTGCACGAGAGGATACCCCCATCATATTTGTGAAAGTCTGATTGCAGATAAGACAGCAGGTTATGGCAAGTGCAGACATGTCATCATCATTGTGGTTTTAGCAGATTTTTGTCTTTGTACTTTCAATTTAACCATCAGGAATTTAACTGATAAGTGTGTTTGCTAGAGAGAAACAGGAATTTGCAGAATGAGAGTATGTTTTCAGAGCCGAGCGTGTTTTAATGTAGCAGCGTGGCTGACCTAAAGCCCATGAATAGCCTGTTTGTTTGTGTGCAGACTATATTCTTCCCAGCGCATTTCTTCATTCAGGACGCAGGAAGTTACAGCATCTGTTATTTCAGGCTCCAGTTTGAATCCCCTGCAACATTTTTCACCAGCCAGATGTGGTGTCGACAGACGCTGACCTGTGTGAGCAAGCGGGCCGATGAGAATCCCAGCTGTTCTGAAAGATTTATTCTTCTTTTTTTTTAAATTCATTCAGTATTGGGTTAGGTTTTCCTCTGTCATGCTGACCGTTGTAAGACACGTTAATGATAATTTGACAGACATTTCCTGTCTCGTATCAGTGGCCTCCCCTGATACTTTGGAAGCAGAAAAAGCTGGAGAGACAGAGGGGACAGGGTAAAAATAACTGTGGAAAGACTGACTGGTTTGACAACAGTCAGTTAAAATGGAGAGGAGATGAAAAAGTACATTATAAAAAAGGTCAGCTGTCAACAAGCAGGAAACTGCTCTCATTTTCTGAAATATGAATTTGACAGACGTCTGGAGTGGAATAAATGCCCATTTATTCTCGGCTCAGAGTTGTTCTTCACTGTAATCTCAGCTCTTCTGTGTTGTTTCTTTCTTCCTCATTGCTAGTCTTTTCTTTAGTTCCAACAAATACCTTGTAGAATGACTCACCACCCTGCAACCTGAATGGCACTTTGAACTGACTTCTGGACTCATTGACGAGCTAATGAGTCACTGACTGACTGCTGCCCTGTAACTGTCTACAACAGCCCTCCCTTTCTTTTTAGATTTTTAGGAAAAATGACTAAATTTGTATGATTGCTTTGGATTTTAATAAACCGTTCAGTGTCTTAATGGGTTCTACTACATTTATTATTTATTTCCTTTATTTAACCAGGAAAGTTACATAAATGTAGCACCACAATAATTAAAATTAACTTTAAAAGTAACTGCCAAAAGCACATTTTATCCTTAATGGCAACAAAGAGACTAAAATGAAAATGATATATCTCGTGATAAACAGTATCAATACAAAATATATTCGATAGAATGTTGACAATTTCACTTGCAGAAGTTTACGAAATTTACCGTATTTATTCAAGTATAATACGTGAAATTAAATCCATAAAATCATCCATAAAGTTGGGGGGTAGTACTATACTCGGATAAATATGTTTACTTATGTATTTTAACTGAAATATCGGCTTCATTCACAAAATTATTGAGTCTGGAAATGAGACCACGTCGTAAAAAGCAGTTGAAATGAGCTACCCCTGACACTCCTCCGTTCTTCAGAGCGAGATAGTAATAGATCCAGGCAGGCGACATGATGTGAAAAAAAAGGGGGGGGGGGAGTATTCCTGCACCTCAGTAATGATAACGAACTAATGACATTAGTGACCGGGCCGCTCCTCATTCAACAACAAACACGTTCGTCTGTAATGGTGGCCGTCTACCGATGTTCTGAAAAAATTTGTATCCCTGAAAAAAGTTTCCCCACCAGAGGGGGCGCTCGCGAGTAGGAAGTAATCTGCTTTTCGCCCACAAGATGGCCCAAATCTCATGTGAAGTCTCTGACTTTTGTGTTGGCGCATCCTGGTGAACTATGTGTAAAATGCCAGAATTCATATGATGCTGCCACAGCTGATGTTGTCAAAATACCTTTTAGTACATACAGTATGATGTTAAAATAAAACGAACAGTCCAATGATCATTTTACTGATATGTTTAAAGACTGCAAAGGCTGAAAAATCTCGGTCTGTATGAAATTGGAGCTAGTTTGAGGATTAAATTTTTTATGCTTTTTAAGCTAAAAAAGGGGGGGTCGTATTATACATGAGATCGTATTATACATGAAAAAATATGGTATGTAGGGAAATAAAATTACGGACTGACTGGAACCAGAGATTGTGGCAGCAACACAGCATTTATGGAAGCTGTAAAATCGCTACCCACCTGCTCTGTTCATGATTTGATTGCAAAAAAGCTTCATAATGTTTATATTTATAGTTACTTTGTAAAAAGTAGCTTAACATTGACATATGTGACCCATCACATCGAAACGAGGATTAAGTCTAAAAGTTGTATGTGGACAAATAGGCATATATAGTGTTTTGATTAAAACACTTGCAAAAATTACATTTTGTCAAAATATAACAAATAAATGTGTTATCAATGTATCATTTCAATGAACTGTCTGAAATATTATCCTAAAATTTTTTTGAAGCACTTTTTTGAGCATTAGCAACAAAAAAACCCGATTTTGAGGAAAAACGCCTTAAAATGTTGAGATTTTCCCTGTAAGCTATCAAAGCTTTTGTTTCTTTTCAGCTGTGAAATCTCAATATTCAAATACTATTTGAGGTTTCTTTTTTCAAATGACAAAAAAATCGTCATTAAAATGACATAAAAATAGGATTTAGACCAAATACTTATGTATTATTGTAACCAAGACAAATTAAATATCTCTGGATCTACTAATGATATCAGGATGATATTATTCTTCATTTCGATGTGATGGGTCACATATATGTATGAGACTGAGAAAATGACTGGGAGATATATTTACCAAGCCTCTGTACTCGCTCCATTTCTTCAGAAAAGGTCATTTTCAGGCCCGATGTGGAATCATTGGAGTAAGGTTCAACTGTATCCTCAGTTGCCATTTTCCGTAACCAATATTATAAAGTGTTGCTTGCTTTTTTTTTTTCAACAAAATACAACGCTCCTATGAAAAGTTGTGAACAGCATGAAGCATTGTTGTGATGACGTGCTGCAGTGGGAGTGTCTGAAACAGTAAGAGGTTCTTAGACAGACATTTTCAAGGTGTTTAGATCATATTTAGGTCAAATATATTTTTGATATATACAGCATTTTCATAAAAACTGAAGGTCTCGTGGTATATAGAATTGAACTGTGTCTGGAAAATACACAAAACGCCCCCCAGCTTTTATTTTGTAGGTAAAAAGCTAAAACATAAGACAAAGGAAGTCTGATACCAGTCTTAACCAAACTGGATACCATTTATCTGTGTTAGTCTGGTAGCTAGTTTGAATGTGGCTCCCTTGCAGATAATGGTTGGATAAGCTCTGTCCTGCAGAGGAAATTCTTGTGTAGTTGTTTGCTTGCTTTCTTTTCCTCTCACAGCTTTTGTTTACCAAGGCCAAATTAGAGGTAAAATATCAACAATTATTTATGCCTCCTTGGTTGAGTTGTTTTTTGCTGGAAGTTTATTTCTTGGAAATAAAAAAAAAAGAAGTAGGTTCCCTGGACGGGTTCTTCTTTAATGAACCATTTTGTCTCTCCTCCAAGAGACTTGGACTGAAGAAGTCTCTTGGAGGAGAGATGAAATGTCCAGAGGACCTACTTAATTTTATTTTTCTACCTGGATTACTGAGATGCATCAGGATGACTTCTTGAAAAAGTTTAATTCAGAACAAGAGTTCTGGGTTTTTCAGATATCATATTACTGTGGTTCTTCAAGGACCTCTTTATTATTTATCTACTATTGATTTTATGAAACAAGAGCAAGCAGAATCTCTTACAGCAGCTCACTTCCATAAGAAGCAGTATTTCACATTTCAGCTGCGGTCTGAATTGAGACAGTTAGTTTAGTGGCAAATGATTAAAATGGCTAAATGATAAGGCAGAGGATTTTCCTGTTGTCACAGCAGCGTGGACATGTTGTGGTTATATTTGAATACTAACAGAAGTTTTCTGAAGAAGATCCATGTGTAAGACTTAGATTATGTGCTTGTGCTGGTTCTGCACATTGCTGAAAGAAAGTTATTTTCTGCTGAGAGAAATAAACGAAACATGGGTTGCAAGGAAACTTGAGTGGAGCTTTTGGGCACCTTTTTTAAATAAGCGTATCAGTCGCAAGGAAAAAGTGACGAGATGTTTTTGCAAATGGTCTCCTTTTTAAAAGGCAGAAGTGGTTTGGTTGACAAATGATGGAAACTTTTCATGAGGAACTTTTTATGCTGCGCTCCACCAAATCCATTTGAATTACACTTAACCCTTTCTTCCCCTGTTGTGTCCTAAATGGGGTGAAGTCTTGTATGTTTAATGGAGAACCTGTTGATTAAAGTCGTCTTCTTCCCCTCTGATCTACTCCTCAGGCAGAGGGTGATGTAGCAGCTCTTAACCGTAGGATCCAGCTGGTGGAGGAGGAGCTGGACCGAGCCCAAGAGAGACTGGCCACGGCGCTGCAGAAGCTCGAGGAGGCAGAGAAAGCTGCAGATGAGAGCGAGAGGTTGGTTTTGTTTCTTTTCAAACAGCTGTATTTTCTTCTTTTGTAAACTCTCCTCTCTTTGCTTCCTGTCCACTCAGAGGGATGAAGGTGATTGAGAACAGAGCAATGAAGGATGAAGAGAAGATGGAGATCCAGGAGATGCAGCTGAAGGAGGCCAAACACATCGCAGAGGAAGCCGATCGTAAATACGAGGAGGTAAGATTTGAATGCTAGACCTGCATCGGACCGAGCCTGTTCTGGTTCAAAGTCTAAAAAAAACTGAATAACTTTTTGTCTCAGGTGGCTCGTAAGCTGGTGATCTTGGAGGGGGAGCTGGAGAGAGCTGAGGAGAGGGCCGAGGTCTCTGAAGGGTAAAGCCAAGAGCCACACGACAACACACTAATCTAACTTTCTGCTTTGGAACTAAAACCAATCGCATCTCATTTTGTTTGCTCAGTAAAGCCAGTGACCTGGAGGAGGAGCTGAAAAATGTGACCAACAACCTGAAGTCCTTAGAAGCCCAGGCGGAGAAGGTGATTGTGGAGAGACAAATATCAGACACACATAAACACATTTTCAAGCAATGTTTCTCAGTTAGTGCCATTGAGGAGGCAGAGAAGTTTGTTTTTACACATAAAAAGCAGATGATGTTCATAAAATAAATGCATAGTGTCCAAGATGACCCTGACCCTTGTGAGCAAATAATTTCAGTTATTTTAAGCTGGGGATGCACTGATTACTCAGCAAGTTACTTGAATTTCATGGATGGATGGATGGATGGATGGATGGATGGATGGATGGATGGATGGATGGATCGATGGATGGATCGATGGATGGATCGATCCTTTGCAGGAAATTACTGGTTCACATCCATTATGTTGCTCACAGACAACAACATCATATCAGAAAAGTATTTATAGTATTCTATCTTTGTATTGTGAGTTTGGAGTTTAGTGAGGACCTGAGATAAGGAAGTTGCAAGTTTGATTCCCTGCCATGCCCACATGGGCGCTTAAATAACTGCCCGCTGCTCCACTTGGTGTATCTCACATGATGCAAAGCACAAGTATTATCACTATGTGGGAACATACACAGCATACATTCATACAAGAATATAAATACTAACGTACTAAAACCAAAAATACACTAATACAAAAAAAAAAAAAAAAAACTGCATGAAAATATACCAAAAAAGGTAGGGAGTACAGGGAAGCCTCGGTTTTAACAGGGGTTACGTTGTTGGAGTACCTGTGAAAAAAGATGCAAAATATTGGATTATTTATTTTTATATGGAACTGGAGTTAATGTTTTTGTCACAAAACTAGCAAATTATTTTCTTGATTTAGTTAAAGCACACAAACATGAGAAAATAAAAAAATAAATTTCTTACTGTGCAGTATTTCCATTTTCATTGTCTGAAAAATTACGGGGATTACCGCAAACTGCTAGTATTTATTTTTTATTTTTGTTAACGTGTCCCCATTAGTCTCTGTCGAGGTAGAGACTATTCTTCCTGGGGCCCAGCATACAAAAACGAAACGCATCAATACAATCAAGAAAACAAACGTCAAAACTAAAACATATTTAAATTAAAATTAATAGCCAGCGTAAGCCTCACAAACAAACATTTTACTTGAAAACATAAATCAACTGGCTTCATTTCTCATAACACTACATCGTGTACATATATGTCCAGGGAACACCAGGAACCAATAACCTATTCAACAATAAGCTCCTTCTGCTCTTTTACATTACAGTGGTTTGCAAAACTATTCATACCCCTTGAATTTTTTCCATATTTTGTCACATTACAACCACAAACATAAATATATTTCACTGGAATTTAATGTGAAAGACCAACACAAAKTGGTATACAATTGTGAAGTGGAAGCAAAATTTTACATGAATCAAAACATTTTTTACAAATAAAAAACTGATAAGTGCGATGTGCAAAATTATTCA